TGCGAATTATAAATTATCTTCCTTTTTGTTTCGTCTTTTTAAAATTTCAGTTAATAAACATATAGTGTAATATTGGTTTCAGGAGTAGAATTTAGTGATTTATTACCTACATATAATACCCAGCGCTCATCACAACTGCCTTAATACCCATCAGCCACTTAGCTCATCCCCAACCCTACAAATTATTTTTAAGCACACTTGGGACATTTAAAAAACTGACATACTGTGCTATAAAGCAATTTCAACAAATTTTGGAGGATTTAAAATATACAGTGTTTCTTGCTCTCATACAGTTCAGCTACAAATCAGTAACAATAACTATGAAAGTCTATTTAGAAATTAGGAAACACTTCTAAATAACCCCCCAAATTATGACTGAAGTTAGAGAATAATTGGAACTCAATGATAATAAAAATAGTACGTGCCAAAGTTTACAGGATGGGGCTACAGCTGTGTTTTAACAAGAAAATGTGTAGTCTTAAGTGCACATATTAGGAAAAAAGAAAAGCTGAAAATGTACAAGGCTTGCATTATCTCAAGAACTGAGAATAGTAAATTAAATCCAAAGAGAGTGGAAAAAAGAAAGTGCGCACAAAAAGATGACTGAAAGGATATATACTCAAAATGATAGCAGTTTTGGGGCGCCTGGGTGGCTCAGTGGGTTAAGCCTCTGCCTTCGGCTCAGGTCACGATCTCAGGGTCCTGGGATCGAGTCCCGCATCCGGCTCTCTGCTCAGCGGAGAACCTGCTTCCTCCTCTGTCTCTCTCTCTGCCTGCCTCTCTGCCTGCTTGTGATCTCTCTCTGTGAAATAAATAAATAAAATCTTAAAAAAATAATAAATAAAAATTTTTAAAAAATGATAGCAGTTTTTAATCTCTTGGGGTAGGATTTTTTTTTTAAAGATTTACTTATTGGACAGAGAGAGATCACAAGTAGGCAGAGAGGCAGGCAGAGAGAGAGAGGAGGAAGCAGGCTCCCCTCTGAGCAGAGAGCCTGATTTGGGGCTCAATCTCAGGACCCTGAGATCATGACCTGAGCCGAAGGCAGAGGCTTAACCCACTGAGCCACCCAGGTGCTTCACTTGGGGTAGGATTTTTAATTAATTTCATTTTTCTGTATCATTTAAGTAAGGCACAAGAAACAAAGCCATTTTCGTTTTGGGGGGAAAGCAGTAGAGGAAAACGTGGGACAATCTTTTTGTTGTAACTGTTGGTGTAGTCTCTATACCCAATGTGGGGCTTGAACTCATGATCCTGAGATCAAGGGTCACTCTCTCTAAACACTGAGCCAGCCAAGTGCCCTGAGGGAATATTTATAAGATAATCTAGACTATTACGGTGACATACCCGAAGCTTTAAGTAAAAAGCCTGATAAACTCAACCTTATATATGAAAAATTTATACATGGTTAAAGATATCATGAAGGGGCTCCAGGGTGGCTCAGTCAGTAAAGCATCTGACTCTTGGTTTTAGCTCCAGTTATGATCTCAGAGTCCTGGGATGGAGCCCTGCTTCCGTCCAGCTCCCTGCCCAACGCAGAGTCTGTTTTTCCCTCTCCTTCTGTGCTTGTGTGCTCTCTCTATCTCAAATAAATAAAATCCTTTTTATAAAAATATTTTATTTACTTGACAGAGAGAGACACAGCAAGAGGGGGAACCCAAGCAGAGGAACTGGGAAAGGGAGAAGCAGGCTTCCTGCCAAGTAGGGAGCCTGATGCAGGGCTCGATCCCAGGACCCTGGGATCATGACCTGAGCCGAAGGCAGAGGCTTAATGACTGAGCCACCCAGATACCACAATAAATAAAATCTTTAAAAAATACTGTGAAGAGAAGCAAAGACTGATAATAAACTGGGAAGATTATTTACAACTCATCACAAATGTCTAATTGCTTTGATACAATAACAACAAACCCTCACACAAATCACTAAGAAAAAATGAATAGTAATTTAAAAGAGGCAAAGGATATAAGAATTTATAGAAAAGAAAAGAGGAAATACAAATGAATGCTAAACCTCTGAGAAGACACTTAGCCAGGGGGCCTGGCTCAGTTGGTAGAGCATGGGACCCTTGATCTCAAGATCCCGAGTTCAAGCCCCACGTTGGGCACAGAGCTTACTTATTTAAAACAAAACAAAACAAAAAACGATCTTGAGATTCCACTTCAATCAAGGAATTGGCAAAAACAACTGTTACTAAAAATGATTTGTTTTGGAGGAAACCTTGTTATTTTATTTATTGCCAATAATAATTGCCAATGGTAATACAAATTGGTTTAATCTTTATGGAGGGCAATTTGGCAATATTTAACAAAATTTAAAATGCACACATCTTTTGAGGCAACAGTTCCATATCTGAGTATTTACTGCACATGTACAAAATAGTGGGTGGACAAGGATATTAACTACAGAACTGTTTGTAATAACATGAAACTGAACACTATCTATTCACTAGGGTCTGGTTGAATAACTTATGGTGGTAGATCCCTACAGTGGGATGTATCTACTGCAGAAGAAGAGGGGGGAAAGAGAGAAGGAAAAGGAAAATGAGATAGTGTTAAAAGCATTAATATGGAACAGCCTCCAAGATATATTATTCAGTGAGAAAAGGAAAGTGCAGAAATATGTATAGTGTGTTCCCATTTGTGTAAAAGTTTTAAAAGTATATATGTGCATAGATATTGATTAGTGCATAGAATATATTTGGAGGGATGTACAAAAAACTAGCTGGAGGAGAGGGGCCCCTGGAGAAGGGAACTAAGCAGCCAAGAAATGGGATAAGAAGGAGACTAACATTTGACTCTATATCCTTTTGTACCTTTGAATTTTGAGCAGGTGCATGGCTTAGCTATTCAAAAGCAAATATTTGGGATCCCTGGGTGGCTCAGTTGCTGCGTGCCTTCAGCTTAGGTCATGATCCCAGGGTCCCGCATCCAGCTCCCTGCTCAGCAGGAAGCTCTTCCTCTCCCACTCCCCCTGCTTGTGATTCCCTCAAATGAAATATTTTCTCATGCCTTCCTGCCTTACTTGTGCTGTCTTTCTAGAATGACAGATTTCCCCCACTCTCTCCTTGTCCGTATATCCAGTATACTCATCCTAAGACTTCTGGTTCAAATGACATCAGCCTTACCATATTCTCTCAGGCACTGTTACTCAGAATGTACTTTGTATGTTTCCAGAACAGAGATTTTTTTGTTTTATGGTGATTGTCTACATATAAGTTTCTTCCCCCCAAAGACTATGTCTTTTCGTCTTTGTCAGCAACTTTCAAATATACAATACCATATTACTAACTATAGTTACCATGCTCTACATTAGGTCCTCAGAATTTATTCTTCTTATTAGAAATTTTGCACCCTTTGACCTATATTTCTCCATTGTTCCCTTACCCCATCAGCAAAGTCTTGTGACAATGAAATCAAAAGCCTCATTCCAAATCTCTGTACTCCGTACCACACAACAGTGCCTACACTTGAAAGCAAATGAATTTTCATTTCACTTAGAAGAGTGGTCTCTAGTGAGATATTATAAAGTTTTGCCTTAGCTTTCTCCAATATAATTTTTTAAAAGATTTTATTTATTTATTTATTTATTTATTTATTTATTTGAGAGAGAGAGAGAGAGAGAACAAGAGGTGGAGGGAGAGGGACAAAGAGGGACAAGCAGACTTGGTGCCAGGCACTCACTTGATCCCACCACCTGGAGACCAAGACCTGAACTGAAACCAAGAGTTGGACCCCCAACCAACTGAGGTTCCCAGGCACTCTCACCCCCAACATATAATGTTTTACAGAAAGTAACATATAGTATTCTAACAAAAGACAAAAAAATTGTTATTATTCTAATGAACACAGAAAAGCATTTGGAAAAAATCCAACATCCATTTATGATAAAAACCCTCACACCAAGATAGAAAGGAACTTTCTTAACCCAATGAAGAGCATCTGAAGAGCTTACAGCTCTCATCATACTTAATGAAAAAAGATGATGCTTTCCCCCCTAAAATCAGAGTAAGACAAGGATCTGTGCTTTCAAAACGTTTATTCAACACTGTCCTGGAAGTTACAGCCATTAGAAATTAAGATGTAGCATGCTTATAATTAAGATATAGCTTTGGAGATGGACTATAGAATTTGATGATTACTAGAATCTGATCCAAAATTACTGCTACAGGCTGGATGATTAACAGAATAAACCTCTCAGCAACTTTCAAATATGTAATACTATATTACTAATTATAGTTACCATGCTCTACAGTAGGTCCTCAGAATTTATTTTTATTAGATTTTGCACCGTTTGACCTATATTTCTCCATTGAAATATAAATTAAAGCCAGAACTAATGTATTTAGGTAGAAAAAGCAACAGGAAGATACAAAATTCTGCAAAAGCATTGCCAGGTACCTACTGCGTGCCGTGTACTAGAATCCTCACTAGGGGATTTGATTCCGAAGCAAAAAAAAAAAAAAAATGTCTAGGCTAGACTAAGGCAAATTTTCCTGCGATCCCTAAACTCCTTTAGCACTGATTAAGAATTCTCTAATTCGATACTGTTAATTCTTCAGGACCCAGGCTGTCTACTATACTTTGATTTTCCAAAGTTCCCAACAATTAGCACGAGTTTAATGCCCTTCTATTGGATGGCTTCTTTGCCTCTGCTACCTGAGCCAAACTACACAGAAGCTAACGAAGCTTCTTCAAATATTTGAACAGCGCGTTTCAGGAAGACAGTGCCTGGCACGGTGCCTAGAACAGGCGAAAATCTAACAACTCTCCTGAGTTTGGGAAGGCTTCCGAGTGTTCGGAGATCACTTCTCTGAGCATGAGCGGAAGTCACCTTTTGGGCAGTCTGCGGTTTTTTTCAAATGATAGGTACCATATTAAGGAGCAATCAACTTCACTCTGCTTTTCCCGTTGCACCCACAAGCAAGTGACCAGGTGACAAATTATTTTCGTTACAGGAAAATAAACACCGCACTCAAAGAAGTCCTCAGGCAGCCGAACACCTCCGTCTTCCCATAGTAAAGATGGCGGCCCCCGGAGTGTAGACTACAGGCAGTACCACTTCCGCATTTTTCTTGCGCCCTCATCCAACATGGCCGACGAGGCCACCCGGCGTGTGGTGTCCGAAATCCCGGTGCTGAAGACTAACGCCGGCCCTCGAGATCGTGAGTTGTGGGTGCAGCGACTTAAAGAGGAATATCAGTCTCTTATCCGGGTTAGTTTTGCTTCTGCGGCCGGCCGCGTCGCAGAAGGGTTGCGGGTAATCAGGTGTCCTTAGGAATAAGCTCCGTGTGGAAGTCGCTTCCGGTTATAAAATTTAACTCCCAGATTCATAGAAGGTGGACAGTTGTGGGGCTGGGGGGATTTAAGGAGGTATGGGAGGGAGGAGGCAAAAGAAACTCAGTTTAGGAGCCCCGGTGGGGCCAAAACATCTGTTATTTTAGGGGTACGTCCTCCCGGAAGGTGACGTGTCCCTCTGGCTCCAGGTGTTCTGTCTCCTGGAGGTAGGGGAGGTGGTCCCGAGGAATTCCTGGGGCCCTAAGTCCCAGTCGTTTCTCTCTGTTCCCTCTTTTACTCTTCCTGTGAGAGAAACACGCTAGGGCTGAAAAGTAAAGTAAGCGTTAGTTGCAGAGAGTTGAGGAGTTAAACTCACAGTTAGGAATGAGCCATCTTCTCGGCAAATCTCTCTTCTGTGTGAAGAGAAGACGGTCTATCTTCCTCGAGGTGGCCTCTGCCTGTTTCAAAAGCCAGCAGCTCTCCTGACACGAGTATTTGTTTCCACTAACCACCCCCTGCCCTGCCCCATTTGTACACGAAGCATCTAGGGACGGGATCCAAAGCTGAATAGGGTGGAACCTACTGAGATAAATGAAACAAATCATTATAGCATGAAGAGGAGAGAGAGGGAGGTATGGCTAGGATGTTCTGAGAGCAGAAGGTGAGATTCCTAAATCACCCTGGGTCTGGTCGGGGAAGGTTTCATAAAAGAGGCAGTGCTTGAGCTGAACCTCAAAGGGTAAACATAAGTTAGCCTGATAAACAGGGTAAGAGGGGGATGTTCACGGCAAAAGGAACAGCATGAGTAAAAGCATGGAAGTTACAAGTGGCATGATGTGTATAAAGAAATATAAGTAGTTCAGAGTTGCTGAAGCATCAAGCTGTAGGGCAGGGAGTGGTAGACAAGGCTTGAGACATAGGCTCAAGTACTTGAATTTTGCCTCGAAGGCGCTGGGATACCTTTAAAGTATTTTAAGCTGAGGCGTAACGTGCTCAGATTGGATTTAGACCAATTGCAGTGAGTAGAGAGGAACATAGAATTAAAAGAGGTTAAGATTGAAGGCAGGAAACAAATTAGGCGGCTGTCATTAAGCCAGACAAGAGAACGATGATGACCCAAACTGGATAGTTACTGTGAGGCTAGAAGAGGTAGATCTGAAGAACATTCAGAAGGTAAAATCAGCAGTACATCATGAAGGTTTGGTGTAGAGGAGAGGAGAAGGAAGGTCAAGGATGATTCCCACTCTTTGGCTTGCATTACTGAGCGAATGCTAATACTGTCATCTGAGACTGATGCAATGGAGAAATGGCCTGAAGAACCCTGAGGAAGTGCTGAGTTTGAGGTACCTGTGAAATGAAGTTAGAATATTCAGTATATAAGTGGATACTAGAGTCTGAAGCTCTGAGAAATGGTCTGGATTAAAATAAAGAGTTGGAAATCAACAGCACACGGGTACTGGTCAAAACCAGGACTCTATGAGGTTCTCCAGGGAGGGAGGATACCATAAAATGAGTCGTGGGCTGAGGGCAGGCACTATCAGAAGTGAGAAGAGAATCCAGAAGATGTCATATTTTGTCCTTGCTAAACTGAGTGAGACCCAACCATCCTATTCTCTTCTCTGAGCAAGTCTCCCATTTACCAGTGTAACTTTGTCTTCAGCTTTCCTCCTGTCAGAAAAGTGGGGTACAGGGGCACCTGGGGGGCTCAGTCTTTAAGCATTTCCCTTCGGCTCAGATCATGATGCCAGGGTCCTGGGATCAAACCCCGCGTTGGCCTCTCTGCTCAGTGAGAAGCCTGCCCCTCCCTCTTCCATGACTCCTGCTTGTCCCCTCCTCCCAGTCAAATAAATAAATTAAAAAAAAAATTTTTTTAAAGAAAGAAAAGCTGGGTACATACTAAGAGAGAAAGTAATCACATGCTTTTCTTTTGAGGGAAGAGGGACTGCCTTTGGTTTCAACTCTCCCCTCAAAGACCTCATTTTCTGCTTTTAGTATGTGGAGAACAACAAGAATGCGGACAATGATTGGTTCCGACTGGAGTCCAACAAGGAAGGGACTCGGTACGCAGACCTTCTTGGGAGTTTTGGGGGTGGGAATCTTAACGTGGCTTGAGCATTTTAATGTCCCAAAGCCCACGGCTGGGCCTTCCCTGCCTCCTGGTAGCTGCCTCTGCTCCCACAGCTCCAGAGTTCTCTAATTCCCATCCCATGAGTCTCCCAGAATGGACAGGTTGGATTGAGGTTTGGTCTTTTTCTTTGGTCTTTGTTACAGGTGGTTTGGGAAATGCTGGTACATTCATGACCTGCTCAAATATGAGTTTGACATTGAGTTTGACGTGAGTATGATGGCATGAGAAGTATGGAGGTTAGTGGAAGGGGAGGGATTAGGTGATGGTTAGTAAGCTAACCTTTCTTGAAGGGATCAAAGAAAACTTTTAAAATGGGAGGGAAATGCTGAGGTTTGAAGCAAGCATAGATTACAGCTGCTCATCTCCATATCCAGAATCCCAGCGTGTACATGCTGTTTGGTGGGGGATTGGTTCATTTCTACCCTGCTTCTGTTTCATTAAGGCCTTATGATTTCTCCAGATTCCTATCACATATCCTACTACTGCTCCAGAAATTGCAGTCCCTGAACTGGATGGAAAAACAGCAAAGATGTACAGGTAGGATCAACAGGAGACAGGAAAAGGCCGAAGAGGACTTAGGAGAGAACTCTAAGTCTGGGATTTTCCCAGAGTTTGCCTGCCTAGAGGGCCTTCTGGCCTCCCTCTGTCAAGTCTGGGCAAAGTACTTAGCTAACCTTGCGCTCGATTCTGATCGCTGCTAGTTACCTTGTGCTTCCCAGAGGCTACTGTGCTTTATGGTAAACTTCACATGTCAACACTGTCTTCCTCTTGTCCCTCTCATAGGGGTGGCAAAATATGCCTGACTGATCACTTTAAGCCTTTGTGGGCCAGAAATGTGCCCAAGTTTGGACTAGCTCATCTTATGGCTCTGGGGGTAAGTTTGGGCTATTTGGTGCATAAGGGGAAGGGGAGGAATTAGGCACGTAGCAATGTAAGAAAAGTAACTGAGAATAAACAAGGAGTGACAGTGTTTTCCCTGGGCATGTTCCCATAGAATCTCTCTGGGAAGGAGCTTCTGATGGAACAAGAGATATTGACCAAGTGGTCCTAATCTGACAGGGTCTCCCTTGTATTGCAGCTGGGTCCATGGCTGGCAGTGGAAATCCCCGATCTGATTCAGAAGGGCGTGATTCAGCATAAAGAGAAATGCAACCAATGAAAGATCAAGCCACTGAGGCAGGACAGAGGGACCTTTGATAGGCTACATTCTTGCTCTCTGTGCATCACTCTTACTCATCCAACCGCTTCCCCCCCATACCACTTCACCTATAATTGTTACTAAGTAGCTGCATCAGGCATGCTGAAAAAAAGAAACAACAGCATTGCTACTGAATTCCTAAGGCTACACAGGGAGGGGAAAGACTGGGGCTTTGGGGAGCCCAAAGGCAATTTGTATGCCTTCCGCAGGTGAAGCAGTGTGAGATCCAGGAAGTCTGGGAGGGCTGAAAGTGGGTGCATAGTCTTTTTGGTTTCTGGAGATAACTCTTCAATAAAAGCTGCTTCCTCTGGTAATCCGTGGTTCTCATTGGTGGCTGTGAAGAGAGGGTGAGCTGGTTAAGACCCAAGGCACATACACAACTACATAAGTTTGGGAGGGAGGGGGAAATGGAGGATGCTGTGGTCGGGAGCTGGGAAATGAAATCTTGGACTGCTCTGCCTCCTGCTGAAATCTGCTTGCAGAGATCTGCTCGTGTCCTCTAACGGGGTGCCTACTGCTTTGGTCTGCAAGATGCTTGAGGAATGGTTTTGCAGGACCAGCATTTCCCGTCCTCCAGGGATCTTCCCGTCCCTACGTGGAGTGCTGGATCCTACTCCACTGGTCTGCGAGCTGGACCCAGGCAATGCAGCTTCCCACACTAGCACCCCTGCTCCCACGGAAGGATGTGTGCTGCAGGCCTGGGGGCCATACTACGATGATGGATCTACATCCCTATAGTTTCAAGCGACGGTTTTAAAACGGTTCAGGGCAGATCTGGGGACCGGCGGTCCTAAAGTTGGCTGCGTTTCCATGGTGTCGGCGGCGGAGCCAAGGGGGCGGGTTCACGCAAGCGCCATGGAAGCAGGTGGGTGGATTGCGAGTGTGGGTGCGCAGGCGCTGTGAGAGGCGGTGAAGCCGGTGGCCGGTGGTCGGGCGGGACCAACAAAGATGGCGGCGGCCCCTGCGGCGGGAGAGATCTGGGCAACAGCTGCGGCTAAACCTGCAGCCCGGCCCTCGGGGGGGCTGCACGGGGGTAGTAGGGGGTGGCCCTGAGCTGGGGCTTGGCCCCGGCTGGCCTCCCCCGCCGCCTCACCGGGGGACAGGTACGGGCCGGGGCGCTATGGCGGGGTGGGGGGGGCGCGGGAAGACTGCTCCGGACCCGAGAGGACGCCGTCCGCAAAGGCAGGGCGCGGGGGGCTCAGCAGGCCTGGGGGACCTGGGCTGGAGGGACAGCATCCGTGGACCGCAGGGAATACGCCGCTGGACCCCGTAGCCAATCAGCGGCCTCGGCCTTTCTGCCCTCGAGGGGGGCGGACCCGGCTGAAGCCCTGCTGTGGTGGGAGAGGTGCGGAGATTAGGGTCGGGGAGTCGTTCCGTCCTCCCTCCCCGCCACTGCCCCTGAGCCCCGACACCTCGCTGGAGCCTCAGGGGTGGGGGAGGGAGTGATTGGCAAGTCACTCATTTAGTCGGCTTCATTTGCAGTCCAGAGGGACAGGGGTTTGAGGGTGGAATGCTGTCTTTGGGTTGTTTTCCTTATATCCACACCCTCATTTGTCCAGAGAGTCTAAATGACCCAGGGCACATCCCACTTGATTAGCCAGGCGTGGGGGCCCTTGGCATGAGCGTTTAGATCTTAAAGACAGCCGAGATAGAGACTAACATTGGCTTTTCAGTAAAGCTGTATTCTGCAGGTAGGGCCTGAGGAATTTAGAAAGAATCAAAGCGGCGGGCTGCTATCATTCATTCATTTACTCAATGGATACTAAGTATCGACTTTGTGTCACACACTATGCTAGATAGTGGAGATAGGTAGACATGGTTCCTGCCTTCAGTGTATGTAGAAGGTAGTGTGGTAATGTAGGTTCCCTCCTCCCTCCACATTCAAATGCTGACCCTCTCTTCTCCTCCCAGGTCCAGCCTGTGGTGTCCACAATGCCCCAGGCCTCTGAGCACCGCCTGGGCCGGACCCGAGAGCCACCTGTTAATGTCCAGCCCCGAGTGGGGTCCAAGCTACCATTTGCCCCGAGGGCCCGAAGCAAGGAGCGCCGAAACCCAGGCCCTGGGCCGAACCCCATGTTAAGACCTCTGCCTCCCCGGCCAGGTCCCCCTGAGGAACGGCTCAAGAAACTGGAGCTGGGACGGGGACGGACCTCAGGCCCTCGTCCCAGAGGACCCCTTCGGGCAGATCATGGAGTTCCCCTGCCTGGCTCACCACCCCCAACTGTGGCTCTGCCTCTCCCTTCCAGGACCAACCTAGCTCGTTCCAAGTCTGTGAGCAGTGGGGACTTGCGTCCTATGGGGATTGCCTTGGGAGGGCATCGTGGCACTGGAGAACTAGGGGCTGCACTGAGCCGCTTGGCGCTCCGGCCTGAACCTCCCACCCTGAGACGTAGCGCCTCTCTCCGCCGCCTTGGGGGCTTTCCTGGTCCCCCCACCTTGCTCAGTATACGGACGGAGCCCCCTACATCCCATGGCTCCTTCCACATCATATCTGCCCGGCCCTCTGAGTCTTTCTACTCCGATGACAAAATGGTGAGGACTTGCCAGCACCCGTGGCCTTCCATGCTCATGTTCCTCTATGCCTCCAGCTTTCTTGCCATCACATGGCTTTCTTTTCCCTCTTTTCCCCCAAGTTCCGATCTCAGTCCCTCATTACAGCAGCTTGGACTCTCCACTCCCTTACTTAAGTACCCTCGAGCTTCCGAGACCTTTTTCGGGTTTTCTGTGACTCCCCAGTGTGGTGTGCCATTTCGATCCCCAGGGAATTAACCCAACCATTTGGAATTCTTCTCTGGGTCCCCAGGCCCTTGCTCTCCCTTGCTTCACCTTCTCTCCCAGGATGCTCCCTAGGCCTAATTGATCTCTGGAGCTGAAGAGGGGCGGGCTCAGAACATCTGAGTTAGCGTGGTGGCCCATTTCTGAGCTAAGGGAGCTAGGTTGATTGCAGTTGGAGCCATCAGGAGAGGGTTCAGGAAGGGGCCACGGGGGCGGGAGGGGGCTTTGGGGGAAGCAAGGTGGGTGTGGGGAGCAGCTGGGCGGCCATGCCTGTGCTTGGGGAGCTCCCCCAGGAGCTACAGCGCCGGCTGGCTGGGCAGAGGAGTAGGTGGGGAACAGGTGGGACAGCCATGGCCGAGTCCGTGGTACACTCAGCTGTGATGGGCTTCCTGCTCATGTCCAGTGAGGTAGGGAACCCCCAAGAGCCCTGTGAGGTACAGGAGGGTGGGAAAGCAGTGGGCAGTGTACTGTTGAAACGTTCAAGTGCCGGGTGGGATATGTGGGAACCTGCTGACTCGCCTTTGACCTTCCAGGCTCATCACACGCTGCTTCTGGGCTCCGGTCATGTTGGCCTCCGAAATCTGGGGAACACGGTGAGAGCTATCCTCCTGTCTGTCAGTGAAATGGTGCGGGGGGTGTGGCACTGACTTGGGGAAGGAGAGAGCTGAAGCTCTTCTAGGCTTCCTGTCCCCGGTCAGCAGAAATAATGGCAGTGTCTCTCCTACCCTCTTCCCCTCCTCACCCCCCAGTGCTTCCTGAACGCAGTGCTACAGTGTCTGAGCAGCACTCGGCCTCTGCGGGACTTCTGTCTGCGAAGGGACTTCCGGCAAGAGGTGCCTGGAGGGGGTCGAGCCCAAGAGCTCACTGAAGGTGCGGCAGCTGCTCCTGCTCCCACTTTTCCAGTCCTCCCTCCAGCCTCTGGGACCATCTGCCAATCATGGCAACCCCAACCCTCAAATCTGGCGGCTGTATCTGGTTATGCTGGTGCCTGCTTCCCTGGAGGTTGTTTTCTACCCTCGGGGCCTCCCTGGGCTTGCCTCTTCCAGTCAGTAACCTCTGTTTCCCCACACCTGCCCTAACAGCCTTTGCGGATGTGATTGGTGCCCTGTGGCACCCTGACTCGTGTGAAGCTGTGAATCCTACTCGATTCCGAGCTGTCTTCCAGAAATACGTCCCTTCCTTCTCTGGATACAGGTGGGAGAGCTGGAGGGTATGCCGTTTCTCTCTGGCCCCGTCTGGGGCTCGGGCCAAGCAGGGGCCCTGGCAGCATGGCGCGGGACCTTCAGATGTTTTCCGTCCAGGAAAGGGGGACCAACGTCTGGGCAGGAGAGAGAGTCTTTGGACAGGGCGTTTGGGGAGGGAGGAGAGGACGGTGTCAGTTGCCCACACCCTGTTTCTGGCTGTAGCCAGCAGGATGCCCAAGAGTTCCTGAAGCTTCTCATGGAGCGGCTACACCTGGAAATCAACCGGCGGGGCCGCCGGGCTCCGCCCATCCTGGCCAGCAGTCCTGCTCCCTCTCAGCCCCGCCGAGGAGGAGCTCTGCTGGAAGAACCGGAGCTGAGGTAAGGTCGCTCCCCCACCCCTATCTTCCCGGTAGTTGCTCCTCAGCATGCCTGGATTAGGGAACTGAGCTCGTCAAGCCTAAGGATTTGGGGTCCAGAGAAACACTCAGCTTAGGAAGTGGTTTGAGAAGCAGTGCCGAAGTAGCTGGGAAAGGAGGCCAAGGTGGGGAGATGGGGTCAGGGGATAGGGTACGAATGTCCCTGGGCCAAGGGAGAGGGGTAGCAACTTTACAGCCAGGAATATAGAGAGTTTAAAGCCCGGGGAAGTCAGCTGCTCTTCCCTTGTTCTTTCCTTTTCCTCTTCCCTTGGATTCCCCCCAAAAGTCTTCTGAAGCGTCACTCCTTTGAGACTTCTCAGAAATGTCGAGAAGGAGCTAGGGTATGGGTGGGGTGCAGGACTGTGTGGGTCATTTCCGTGGTGCCTGGGGTGCCCAGGGATCCCCTTGTCTCACTGGGTGCTTTCCACGTCCCTAAATCTGTGGTAGTGATGATGACCGAGCCAACCTAATGTGGAAGCGTTACCTGGAGAGAGAAGACAGCAAGATTGTGGGTACGGAGCGGGCAGAGCCATGCAGCACGATCGGTGCGGGAGGTTGTGGGCTTGGGAGAAGAATTGACACCGCAGGGGCGTGGGGACAGGCTAGATGATGGAAGTGTGGACGGGGGTGAGGGGTTTGTTAGGAGCGCTGGCGCTGGGAAAGGAAGGGTCGGGCTGAGGGCTGGGAAGAGATGGGAACCCAAGGAAGCATCTCGGGCACCCCACAGTGACTGTTTCTTCCACATCTTCACTTGTCTAGACCTGTTTGTGGGCCAGTTGAAAAGTTGTCTCAAGTGCCAGGCCTGTGGGTATCGCTCCACGACCTTCGAGGTTTTTTGTGACCTGTCCCTGCCCATCCCCAAGGTGGGATTCCAGAGGATTCCAGGGGTGGATGGGACATGGGTTCTGGGACCCTTCCCTACCCACCCCCAGAACGTGGGAGGGAGCCCTGTGGGTCTCTGAAGGAAAACTGAAGCCTGGATTGATTGAGAAGAGCTGGAGACGGAAATTCAGGACATACTGACCTTTCATTCCTGTTTCCCCGCCTCAGAAAGGATTTGCCGGGGGCAAGGTGTCTCTGCGGGATTGTTTTAGCCTTTTCACCAAGGAAGAAGAGCTAGAGTCAGAGAATGCTCCAGTATGTGGGGTTTCACAAGGGATACAGTAAGGGTGGGAGACCTTGCGAGGGGGGCAGAGGGGCTATGGATGGAAGGGGTCACGTGATGCTTTGGTATAGGGAATAATATTTGTAGGTCTGGGCTTGTGTTGGAGTCTCGGGTATGTCCTAATACTCCTCAGGCTGAGGGGAGTAGCCCAGAGGATACAGGAGTCACGGGGAGCATAGTGAATTTGTACCTGAGTCGGGGAGTCAGAAAAGCCAGTCGAGGAGAGGAGCAGATTAACGTGACATTATTTGACATTTCTTCAGGTATGTGACCGATGTCGGCAGAAAACACGAAGTACCAAAAAGTTGACAGTACAAAGATTCCCCCGAATCCTTGTGCTCCGTATCCTAATCCTCAAATTCTTCTTTCTCCCATCTGTATTCCCCCCATCCCGCATGTTCCATTTGGGAGTTGACTTTTCCTACCACACTCCTGGGGTGTGTTCCCAGAGGGGAGTGGACAGCATTCAAGACCTCAGCCCTCTTCAGAGGCCCTCTGCCCCCCAAATGCTCCTTAACTAGGGCTTAGATCTTAATCGATTTTCCGCCTCTCGAGGCTCCATCAAGAAAAGTTCAGTAGGTGTGGATTTCCCGCTGCAGCGACTGAGCCTGGGGGACTTTGCCAGCGACAAAGCTGGTGAGTCTGGAAGGGAGGGACCTGAAGAGCTCCTCGGAAGGGGAGGGGGTGTGGTCCTGGGCCCCAGCACGGCGCAATTCTGCAATTCTTTGGCCTCCGAATCCCCAGGAAGCCCTGTCTATCAGCTGTATGCCCTCTGCAACCACTCGGGCAGCGTCCACTACGGCCACTACACAGCTCTGTGCCGGTGCCAGACTGGTTGGCACGTCTACAATGACTCTCGGTGAGAACAGCCTCCCACGCCATCCCCGCCCCATTCCCACTGCAGCTTGAACACTTTGCCCTAATCTGCAGCAGCCCTGGGACAGCAGAGTGCTGGGGGGCCCAGATGCTGGGAGGATGATCTGCCGGGGAGGAGGGGATCCACGGATCCACGGGGAGGAGGGGATCCACGGCAGTGATCCCAACCCCCGCCCCGTCTGCCTCCTCCCCAGCGTCTCCCCTGTCAGTGAAAACCAGGTGGCGTCCAGTGAGGGCTACGTTCTGTTCTACCAACTGATGCAGGAGCCACCCCGGTGCCTGTGACACCCCCCCCCCCACCCCCGAAGCCCTGGCACCTGTGAAACCCGTTCAACTCCCTTAAGCTCCAGGCTCCCCATTTACCTCAGAGACGTCTATTTTTGTGTCTTTTTAATCGGGGAGGGGGGGAGGCGGTGGTTGTAGCTCCCATTATTTTTTTTATTAAAAAGTACCTTTCCACCTGGAGGCTCCCTTGTCTCCCAGCCCCGTGTACAGAGCTCCCCAGGCCCCTGCCCGTGTACAGCCCCCAGCCCCTCCACAATCTCACTTTTTGTGAATAAATTTATTAAGAAAAAATGGATGTCCTTTTCTGTATTTGTGCTTAGGGGGTGGATACGGAACTGGGCGCAGTTGGGGGCGCCCCCGGCGCCGGGGGGTGGGAGTGCCGGACCCGGACGCGCGGGCGCCGACGTTCGCCGGAGCAGCGAATGTCTGTGTCAGGTGGGAGAGAGGGAAGGCGAAGCGGGGCCTGGCGAAGCTGCAGGGAAGCGGGTGAGAGCACTGGGGCGCCGGGTTCTGCCCGGAAGGGGGCTGTCCCCGGAGGGCGAGGCACCGAGGACCCCTGTTGACAAACACGCGGCACGTTGCCGGGCGGCCCCGGCTCCCGTAGGCCCGGGCTGTTGCTAACATCAAGGAGCTGTTTACGGCGCCGCCTCCCCACGGAGCAGCCCCAGCGACTCAATCTGCTCTCCCTGCACCCCGCGCTCGCGGGGCCTCCCCCAGGGCCGTCACCCTCCCCGGGCCTGGGAAGCCGGCGGCGGGGCCCGCGGACCCGGCTCGAGCCTGCGCCGCCGCAGCCCTGGGGGCGGACAGAGCCGGGCCGGGAGCCCTCCCCACGCTGGCGCCTAAGCAGTTAAACGCGGCACCCGGACGCCGCTGCGCACCGCGGCCGGCCTCTGCGGGGTGGGAGGAGCCGCCTCCAGCTCTGTGCTTTCATTGGCTGACGCGATCCGGGGCCTCCCGGGGCCCACCAATCCGGAGGCGGGGGAGCCTGGGGACCGCGGGGCGGAGCGGACGCCGAGTCGGAGGGTCCGAAGGGGGCGGGCGGAGCGGCGGCCTCCGACCCGTGGGCCTGGGGGGGCCCCGCGGCACCCGGAGCCCTGCGCCCGCAGATAGCGTGGGCGTCGCCCTTATCCGCCTCCACGGCGAGCGCCCACCGAGGGCCCGGAGGCCTCTCTCTCCTGTTCCCTCTGCTTCTCGTGGGTAAGTCCTGGGCCCTGGGCGGGACGTCCCCTCACTGGCCCCTTCTCGTCCGCCGGCTCCGCCGTAGCTGCCCCCGAAGCGGTGAGTGGCAGGGGTGGAACGTGGGACCTGCGCGGGGCTTCTGCAGAGCAGACTGCCCCCCGGTCAACCTGTCCGATCGCCCCTCTCCCCTAGGCTTCCCAATGGGCCGGACCGTGGTCGTGCTGGGCGGTGGCATCAGCGGCTTGGCCGCCAGTTACCACCTGAGCCGGGCCCCCTGTCCCCCCAAGGTGAGTGCCCCATCGCGCCAGAGGGACCCCCTTTAATACTCTCTTCCCGTTTCCGGCTGAAGGGAGGGCGCCACATCTTCCCTTGCGGACCCTTCACCCCGCGGCTATAGGCCTTGCGGCGTGTCTCCCCCCTGCCGTCCCCAGGTGGTCCTAGTAGAGGGCAGCGAGCGTCTGGGAGGCTGGATCCGCTCGGTCCGAGGGCCAGGTGATGCTGTCTTTGAACTTGGACCTCGAGGAATTCGGCCCGCGGGAGCCCTGGGAGCCCGTACCCTGCTCCTGGTGAGAGGATGATGGAATGCCCAGGAGGGCTTGCAGATGGGCCGTCACCAGAGGACAGACTTGGGAGGAAGTGCTGGTGGGCCAGTCCTTTCCTTAGTTTCTCCTCTTCCTGAGGGTGTATGGAGAGCAGGTTTCTGAGCTTGGCTTGGACTCAGAAGTGTTGCCTGTCCGGGGAGACCACCCAGCTGCCCAGAACAGGTTCCTGTACGTAGGTGGTGCCCTGCACGCGCTGCCCTCTGGCCTCAGGTAACGCTGTCATCTCCTTGCTGCCCCTCTACCTTGCCCGCATCCTCTCACCCCTTCCATTTCCCCACCTCCCAGTCTGTCAGCCCTCCCAGCAAGAGGAGCCACACGAACGGAAATGACTGTGCCTTCCTCAGTGCAGGGGGCTCTTCCGTCCTTCACCTCCCTTCTCCAAACCTCTGTTTTGGGCTGGGCTGAAGGAGTTGACCACGCCCAGGGGCAAAGACCCTGATGAGACCGTGCACAGTTTTGCCCAGCGCCGCCTTGGACCCGAGGTAACGCGGCCCAGAGGGCCCCAGATCCCTCTCCTGCTAAACAGCAGAGCCCCCCACTCAGACCTTCCACTTGGGGACTCTTCTGTATCATCTGGGAATATTCTCTCCCTCTCTTCACACCCAGTAGTCCCCAGAAGTCAGCACTGAGAGTGGATGCCTCCACTTCCCTCCTGTTCTTCTGTTACAGCGGGACTGCTCCCCTCCTCGCCCCCAATCCCATCCCACTTCCAATCCCTACCTTGCAGGGGCGGTGGGAAGTCCTCTCTGTGGCTTCTTCTTCCTTGGCCTCTCAATCCCGGTCTCGTCCTCAAGGTGGCGTCTCTCGCCATGGACAGTCTCTGCCGAGGAGTGTTTGCAGGCAACAGCCGGAAGCTCAGCATCAGGTCCTGCTTTCCCAGTCTCTTCCAAGCTGAGCAAACGCATCGTTCTGTTTTACTGGGGCTGCTGCTGGGGGCAGGTGAGTGGGGGTTGGTTCAAGGGGTGACGATATTAAGGACCGCCGGAGTAAGGGACTGGAGGCCAGGGGTGCTGTTTTAATGATCCTTCTTTCCCTCCTCCTCTGCAGGGCGGAGCCCGCAGCCAGACTCGGCACTCATTCGCCAGGCTCGAGCGGAGCGCTGGAGCCAGTGGTCACTGCGGGGAGGGCTGGAGATGTTGCCCCAGGCCCTTAACACCCACCTGACTAGTAGGGGCGTCACTGTTCTCAAAGGCCAGCCTGTCTGTGGGCTCAGCCTCCAGGCAGAAGGGCGCTGGAAGGTAGGAGAGCCCCCGGGTGTGTAATGTGAGTGTTTAAGTCTCCATCTTTGCCTAAATGGCCAGGGTTGTTAGGACTTGCTCGTTGTTTTCTTGCCTTAGATCCTGCATGAACATGGGCTATCCTAGGGTCTTAGGCCTTATTTGTGGGCGTTTCTCCAAGACCTGTTTGATCCAAGTCTGGGTAGGAATGCTGTTGGAGAGTGGCTTAGACAGGGGAAGGGACAGCCCAGCTCCCCTGCACATCTCAGGGGCCACACTGGCTTCCGTGCGGCCAACTGCCTGGAGTGATGGCAGTTGGCGGGCTCTGTGCTGACTTCATCCTGGAGTGCACTCAGTCTCTCCTGCCAGTTTGGTGCCTGGGAATCTGAGGCAAAATTCCCATTATGTCTGTGTCTCACACACGGTTTTCATCCTGTCAGGTATCCCTAGGGGACGGCAGTCTGGAGGCAGACCACGTGATTAGCGCTGTTCCAGCTTCAGGTAATGGGGTCGCCCCCATCCCCAGCCAGAGTGAGGCTAAGTGTAGTTTCCTGGGCCAGCGGGACCACGCTGTGCCCAACCTGGTCGTCTCTGTGGGAGTCTGATCGCAGGGAGGGTCGGTGAGCCCGCCGTGAGCGCCTCCTGAAGCAGGCCTCTGGCTGCTCTCCCCCAGTACTCAGCGGGCTGCTCCCTGCCCAGGCCGCACCTCTGGCCCGTGCCTTGCGCGCCATCCCTGCCGTGTCCGTGGCTGTGGTGAACCTCCAGTATCGAGGAGCTCGTCTGCCTGTGCAGGTACGTGTGGCACAGACCAGCGAGAGCCGCCATGCGGGGCCACCGGGCACCTTCCTTCCTGACCCGGTCTCTTCCTTCCTCCAGGGATTTGGACATTTGGTGCCGTCCTCAGAAGACCCAGGCATCCTGGGAATCGTGTATGACTCAGTTGCTTTTCCTGAGCAGGACGGGAGCCCCCCGGGCCTCCGAGTGACTGTGAGCAGTGGATTTTGCTTAGCAGGAGTTTCCAGAGGGCTCCTCTGGGCCCAGTAGTTAAGGCCAGGCTGGTCAGTGCCACATTCTCTCCCTAGGTGATGCTGGGAGGGTCCTGGTTACAGACGCTGGAAGCCAGGGGCTCCGTCTTATCTCAAGAGCTGTTCCAGCAGCGGGCACAGCAGGCAGCTGCCGCCCAGTTAGGACTGAAGGAGCCCCCGAGTCACTGCTTGGTCCACCTGCACAAGGTGAGCGAGGAAGCGCCTCTCGGCTCCCACTGAAGGCAGGGACGGTGTATCTGTGGCCATCTCCTCAAGCTTGGCCATCAGCAACAAAAGTTTCCCTGTATCCCCTCTTCTCTCCCCAGAACTGCATCCCCCAGTATACACTAGGCCACTGGCAAAAACTGGGTGAGTTGGGAAAGCAGCTGTGCTGAGGAGGGCAAGGAAACCAGACCTCCAGCGCTAACAGTCCCATCATCTTCTTCCAGAGGCAGCGACCCAGTTCCTGGCTTCTCAGAGGCTGCCCCTGACTCTGGCTGGAGCCTCCTATGAGGGGGTTGCCGTCAATGACTGTATAGAGAGCGGACGCCAGGCAGCAGCCCGGGCCCTGGGCTCAGAACCTAACAGCTGATCCCCACCTCCTCCTGGCCATGCTGGCGGCACCTCTTTACCCACAAAAATAAAAGCTGGAGCTTGGCTGGATCTGGTTGTTCCGTCACCTCTGGGCATGTGGTGGCAGGGGAAGGAGCGGGTCGCCGGGGAGGCAGCAAGCAGGAGCAGAGGCAAGACAAACTCCTTTATTAGAAAATATATCAAAATCCCAGCCCCCTGAGCCAGGTCCAGAAGAGGAAGCTACTCGAGCACTGGCAGAAAGTACCCAGGGAGGGGCTTCCTTCACCAAACGTACTTCCTCGGAACCATAAATAGAATAAATATTCACAGAGGTCCCGGGAAAAGCCAGATTGCTCTTCTCTCCGTGAAAGATCAAGGGACTTGGGGTCCAGCCCTGCTCTTACCCAGGGGCCAGGGACTCTCAGGAGTCATCACATAAAATCATGACACCAAGGATTCACAGTCATAAGCCCTGGCAGGTGACCCTAGAAAGAGGGACCCCCAGGTCTGAAGGAGCCCAGCTCCAGTCCAGCAGTGAGGAGAGGCCCTGGCCTCCAGCGCAGCCCTGGAGTTGTGTCCCCCCACATCCCTCTAAGAGCAGTGAGGACCTGAGGGTGGGGAGAGTACAACCCGTCTGATTCGGTTTCATGATTGAGGTGGGCAGGCAGGACGAGTCAGTGTGAACCGTTGGGGGCCGTGTGGTTGGCAGTAGGCAGAGGGCCGGGCCTGGCTGGGGGCCGGCGCTGCAGCATCTCTTGACGGAAGGCCTGGGAAGAACCAGGTGGGTAACGGGGACCAGAGGGAGTCCGGGGACCCCGAGGGTCAGTTCCAATGTCTGCTGTGATGTTGGTATAGAGAGGGCCCAGCTCTCGAGCCAGCAATCGGTATGTCAGCGAGTTCATCCCATCTTGCGTCCAGGAATTCTGGGTACGGACCAGGAGGTCAAATCTGAGGGTCAGAGGTTGGAGAACTAAGGCCCAGAAAGAAACAGCCGGGGACCTAGGGAGCGTCAGGATGCAGCGCCTTCCCTGGGAATGCGGCTCCCTGAGCAGCCGCAGCAGCTCCCAGGCTGTCCCCTCCTACCTGTGCGGGTTCTCCTCATTGCCCTTATCACCACGATGCTTCACCATCTTATAGTGCCCCACCGACGTGGGGGGGCGAGAGATCTTCATCCCAGCCAGGCGCACCCTGCGGGGAAAGTAGGGGCACCTTGGAGGACCCTGCGCGGAGGCAAGCTGCTCTTCCTGTTTGCTCCACCCAGCAAGGAGGCGGCAGCAGGGTTCTGTACAACAACTAGCACTAGCTAGGCAAGAAAAGGGCCACACGCTGGAAGAGAGAAAGTCAAACAGAAGGAAAGGCAGGAGAATGTAAAGGCGGGACGCAGCCAAGTAAGTCTGGGCGCCTTGGGGCCTCTTGATACCTGGCAGGTAGGTCTGCACCTCCCATCTTGTTATCTCAGTGGCTCCGAGAAACCGCCCTGGCATTTGTTGGAAAGGACAGGACTAGCCCAGGAGTTACACCCCCAAGCTCAGCAATCCCCACCTAGAACAGCGGCTGCCCTGCCTCGACTTCTCACCCTGCACCATGGGCCTCAGTGTTAGGAAAAGAACAAAACCAAGTCATCAGGACCCCACCTCTGACACACAGAAGCAGAACTGAGATGGCCTGGGCAAGTGCTTAAAGAACACATTCATTTAGGAGTCCCTGGGCCCTTTCCACACATACAGAGGACAAGAATTCAGAGAGGTCATCCCGGAGGACACGAGGGGGGAAGGGAGGCCATGGGTCCAACACAGCAAGCCCAAATTCTCACACCACAGATAGGAAATTGGGTCAGCTGAGGCTGAAGGTCAAAATGTTTCACATGCTAAAAATGAGCTGGCATCGTGCCAATGGCATGGACTTAAAACCAAAAAGTGATTCTGGGTGATATGGAGCACAGCCCCTCCTCCCCGGCCCCATAGGAAGTGGTCTGGAGTTACGTTAGTAGAAGGCAGGACTGACTTGTCTCTAGGCCCCTTTCCAGCTCTGGAATCCCATGATACTACAGCCCAGTGATCTTCTCCTCTCTCCCAGAAACAGAACTCACCAGATCTAGGAGACGGAAGGGTGACAGAGTGGGGAACAGCATGATAAAGCCTGACCTGGGCAGAGAGGAAAAGCTAAGGGAGAGGAATAGGACCAAGGAGCTAAAGTGGTGTGAAAGCACAAGCGCCGGGGGTGGTCTCGGAGGACAGGGATGCAGGCCCCCGTGGGGGTGGGAAGCAGTGGCGGGAAGTCTGACCTGGTAGCAATGTCGTCATCCTCACCACCCCAGCCCCAGTATTCATTGGGGAAGCCATTCATCTTCAGGTACTGGTCAGGAGTGAGAGCTGAGACTCCTCCAAAGTACTGGGGGTACGGGAGGCTAGGGAGAGAAAGATCCTTGGGTTCCACGAGTCTTTTGGGGAGACATCCCTACCCCACAACCCCTTAACTCTCCTCCTTCCAATGGATGGTGGGTGTCCCTACTTCCCAGCACCCTCTCGTGCCCTCTACCTGTATCCAAACTTGTTCATGGCAACAGCAACATGCCGGGGTCCCCGGGGGTCACACACATACAGATTGTGGTCGTTCTCGGGCAGGAGGTCCACATCGTGCAAGAACAGGCAGTCCCACTCCTCATCACGCAGGGCTTCCCGCACGCCAACATTTAGCAGCTTGGCCCTGTTAAACGTTCCATTTCCAGCCTGGAAGGTAACGGAGAAGAACCACCTCGTCTATAGGTAGCAGCATGGAGGAGAGGAGGCAGAAGTACCAAAGTGAAAGGAGGGGAATCGAAGGGGGGAAGAGGGGCAAGGACAGTGAAGAGAAAGCCAAACTTTCATTTTTCCTCCAACAAATCGTTTCAGAGCACCGGGATGGCCTGTTTACTTATGCGCGGCTGTTTAGCACTTAAACCTAACAACCACAGCCATGGAAAACAGGGGTCTATAGGTTTTCATTCTTAGACTCTAGGGGAGCCTAAGAATCTTGTTCAAGGTCACATACGGGAAAAATGGCAGAACTGATTTTAATCCAAATCTGTCCAATTCCCAATCTGGACCATTCCCAAGTCAACCACGGAAAAATCCCAGAGAGTACAGGACAGAGTACCCGAGCAGAATAAGGAGGACTCGGGGGCCGACAAGCTGGCAGAGGAAGACCAAGTGCTTTCCCACATTCAACAGTCTCACCCTCTTAAAATGATCGCGGGGACCCACCGTCTGAGAGTGGACTGGCATTTCCTCGCAGCGTCCTTACCAGAAAGTCAGGGGGGTGGGGGGCTGGGGTACCTGGTGGATGACGTAGATGCCGTAAGCGAGCTGCTGGCGCTGCAGGAAGGGGTGCAGGTGGTAGAGCAGCAGGCGCAGGTGGTGCTCCCGGGCCCGGTGGGGCACGATGATGGCCGTGCGGGAGCGGGGCTCACACCCCGCGGGGCGGTAGCGGCCCCCGGGTTCCACCCGGGGGTTCCTCTCCGCGATCTCTGCCAGTGATGGCACCGGGCTAAAGGACACGGACACGGGACCCACTATTGGGAGGGAAGGGCCAAGTTAATGGTTAGAAAGAGGGACCTCCAGGGCCTGGGAATACCGCTGGCCGCAGTGGTCTGGTTCTTGGGCTCTGCTCTCCCGACAGCTTACAGCGAGATCACATACACCGTGAGTTTCCCATCATTGGGACAGCTTTGCAAAGTCTGAAAGGTGTAGGTTCTTCACTTAGCCTGCCTTATTTTAGGGTTCCATAACTCCAGCCTCACTATAAGGTGGAGAACACAGGACTTCCAACTAACTAACAAAACCGCGGCCCATCTACAAAGGAAGCAATCCCCGGCCCAAGGCAGGAAGAGCACAGGAATGGCCGGGCAGTGAAAAGCTGTGGCTCAACCCAGGAGTCCAATCTAAACTCCAAATTCAGAGGCTGCTTATCTCAGCCTCTGCCCACCTCTGGTGACATTAACCCAGGTCCTAAGCCCCATGCCTGCCGCCCTATCCCTGTCCCCACACCCTGGCCTTCCCTTTACTTCCCCCTCCCTCTGCACTCACCTAAAAGAGGAGATCGTTCTGGACAGTAGGGCAGACCTTGAGGAGCTGGAGGGCCGCCTGGGGCAACAGGGGCCCCAGGCAGGTGACTGAGGTTACTGTAGACATCATGGGGATGAGAATAGTCAAATGTCGGCCCCTGCTCTCGGCCAAATAGGGCACTGAGGCTTCGGAAGCCCCCCAGTGACAGGTACATCATGACAGCCAGCTGGGAGCCCACCAGCAGGGCCAGTGTGCAGGGCCGCTCCAGCAGCCTCCGCAACATCCTGGGCTCAGGTCTAAGGAAGGAGAGAGGAGAATTCTGGGGGCAGGCAGGTGAAGAGCAAGCCAGCAAAGAGATCATCAGTTAAGAACCAAGGTGGTGCCAAGAGTTAAAGAGGAAAAGAGGCAAAGAGCGAAGTCACAGAAGGGAGCACACAGGTGTACAGTCATGCGTGGAAAAGAAACAGAATGTAACCACCAGCAGCCCTACCTACCACCTGTCATTTCCAGCCCAAGTCTCACTCTCCACCTCCTCCCTGAACCACTCAGGCCAACTACTCTAGGTCCCCACCCCCAAGGTTGCTTACATCATTCAGGGCCTTTTCAAAGGAGTCTCTGGAGAACGTCCCTCCCAATTTTAGAGGGGGGTGGGGGTGGACTCACCTAGGTTCAAGCTGTCTTCTTCGGGATCATGGGGACTTCAGGGGGTCCCGGGGGGGCAGAGATGTGAGGCATTATCTAAATTGGAAATGTCACAGAGGACAGAGAAAGGCTCCATCCAGCACTCCAACAGTGATCCTGGGACCAGCTGGAACAGAAGTGGTCAAGGATAACCACCCACCCAGAGGGGCAGAGATCAAGATCAGGGTGAAACTGGTTTCCCAAGCAGGGGAAGTGAAGGAAAGTGGTTGGAAAGAAAAGGGGAGGACCCAGAGATGCTAGGTCCCTGGCCTCTCCCCCAGCTGCCCTTGAGTGTCAGGTTTACGTGTACTTAACCATTCCCCACCCTGACAGGACCAACCTGTTTGGGGAGTGGGGACGGGACTGCTAATGCAGACATTTTTGCCAAGGGGGGAGGCAGTCACGACAGGATTGTGGAACGGCCTCAGGAGAACCCAGGGCAGACTAGGAAACGGGTTCCTTTCCGTTCTTCACGTGCCTAGGAGCCAGCCCCGCAGGTGCAGGGAGCTCGATCACCTGGGAGCTGCAAGCAAACAGCCCCGGAGCGCGACGGGGAGTAGGATGGGGGTGGCGTCCTCTACCTTTCCTACCCTATCCCAGTCCTAGCGGGGCGTAGGGAGGAGGGTTACCACTAAAAGTGAGACGGGGAGTGGGAGGCTGGGCAGAGCCCGTCGTGGGTACCTGGGCTGGCTCACCTAAGGGGCGTGGTCAGCGCTCTGCAGAGGGTCACAGCCCAGGTCTTTCAGAGCACCCCAACCGCCCTCCCCAACCGCCCACCCCAACCTCCTCTTGCATTTGCAATGTGAGCCCACCGGCCTCTGTCCATATTTCCACCTGGGACCCCCTCCCTGCCCCAGCTGGTCTCCAGACTTCACCCGGAACTTCTCATCCTCCCCGTCGCCCGAACCTTTCTCCCGGGCCTCTCACCCCATCATCCCCAGCCCACATACCTGCTCTTCTGCTTCCCGTCGTCACCGCCACCCCGACAGCCTGGCAGGCATCGTCACCGCCATCTTGGAAGCGGGCGCCGCTGGGCGGGGCCTCGCGTCACGGGGCGGGGCCTGGGTGGAGCCTCCCGGGCGAGCGGGGCGCGGGGGTGCTGGGGGAGGCCGGAGCGCGGCTGGGTGGAGCTGGGCGGCGGGGGAAGCCGGCGCCGGGCGCTCTCCCCTCCTGACGGGATGCCATTTCCCACCCCTCAGACTGGGACAGCAGCTCAAATCAGGACTCTTTCAGGGCCCGGCCTGGCCCAGAGGCCAGTGCGACAGTTTATGGCGCGTCGCAAAACCTGTCACCGCAGGCCAGCCCCTTCCCGGGGCGTTCGGTGGTGCCCCCGCAACTTAGGGCCACTTAGTAGCAGAATTGTTTCTTGCTCAGGGTACATTGTTTCGATTGCTCTGGCGCATTTTTGTATCCCCGTGTCCTGCAGGCCTTGATAGAAACTATTAGTTAGTTAATAAAAAATGATGCACTGAGTGAGGAGGGAAGGGCGGCGTCTGCTTTAATGTAAAATTGCGTTTTCCCTGACATTACAGTAAAATGGACGCTCCATTAGTGTGCAATATGTGTATCCTGTGGCTTCCACTATCCCCTTAGCACGTTGTGTTTCTTAGAAGCAGATGTTCACACCCAGGAAACTTAGAATAACTCACAGAGTGTTCTTCCAAAAGGGAGGGATATAAAAAATATAGTAAAATAAATATGATTGCCCAGAAATTGCAGCTCATTCACACGTAGACACTTGGGAGAAACTTCCCAGAAGTGATGGTTAATGGGGAACCAGAAAGATTCGTTCTATAGCACACCCTTCTGCCTTTTGAGGTTCTGTTTCCCGGAGAGCTGTTCTGCAACTCTGTAAGGAACTGATCCAAATGCAAATCTGGACGGATTGAGGTTCAATGCTCAATTGCTCCCTACATTGTGCAATAAACAAAGTAAAACAAAACAAAAAACAGTTTTTGCCTCCGTGTTCATGCTCATTTCTGTGTTCCTGATCCATAAATGTGTGTTCCTCAGATTTCTTTTAAACTACATATCAGATTGCATTGAATGGACAGAGGTTTCTGGGATTTGTCCTGCAAAACCCGCCACCCCACCCGCAGGTTGGCAGTCACGCTAAAGAATGTTGTTTGCGAGACATAAGTGACCCAAGGAGCCTGGTTAATTGACATTAGCGGGCCTCCAGCTCAGAACTGGCCCTTCTGGTCTGGACGCCAAGAGCTATAAATTTGCCTTGCATCCCCTCGATCTCCCGGCTGGGCTGCCCCCTGCCCCTCCATTCCCCAAGGAATCCGGGAGGGGAAGCAAACACACCTAGCCCAGGCTCCTTGAATATGTAAAGACATGATAACATAGGAATGCAGCTCCCTCCAAACTGCACGTAGGCAAACAAATGTTTAATTTCAGACCCCATCATTTGCCCTACACATACAACCCTTATGGGGAGTCTTAGCTGAAGGGCCTCTCCATCAGCACTCCAGCCTAGCTGACTCCACCGGTCACACCTTCCCCACCCTCACCAGGAGGTTGGATGTTTTAAGTACCCGGTTTGAGGTAAGTCTGTCTTACTCTCCTTTACTGCTTATGGTTGCCTTCATCTATACTCAGATTTTCCTTTTTTTTTTTTTCCGGTTTCTATTAGATTTTTATAATATCAATAAAGTGTTTTTTTCCTCTTTGAAACTGAGAGTACAGCTGCTGCGAATCTTTTCTTAGAACACATATCTGTCAGTTCCTGCATGAGTTACATGTTCATTTTTATCTGGGTATTGACAAAAATTCTGTCCTTGGCCAAACTTTATTTTTTGTTGTTGTTGTTGTTAAAGATTTTATTTATTTATTTGTCAGAGAGAGAGCACAAGCAGAGGAAGAAGCAGGCAGAAGGAGAAACAGGCTCCCTGCTGAGCAGAGAGCCCAATTAGGGGCTGGATTCCAGGACCCTGGATCATGACCTGACCTGAGCCGAAGGCAGAGGTTGTAACCCACTGAGCCAACCAGGTACCCCTTGGCCAAACTTTAGACAGGCTCTGCTAAGGCTTCTTTTCGAATAAAGCCTCATCCCTGGACCACTGGCCACTTTCAGCAAGAATCCGGCTACATCAGGTTAGCCAGAATCTCCTCATCCCTGAGGTAATTTTCCATCCACTGACCCTCTCATTCCTCTCATTGGCCATACATATTCCCACATCCTGACTGTATTCAGAGTCAAATCCAACCTCTCTCCAGTTGGGATAGTCTACACACTAACCGCAGTAGTCCTGAAAAAAAGTCTTCCTTACCTCTTGAACAAGTGCCAGAATAATTATCTTTTCGGCAGTGGGAAAATCATAATTCCACCCTTTTCTGAACATTCTGTTTTATATATTTTTTAAGATTTTATTTATTTATTTGAGACAGATCACGAGCAGCGGGGGTAGGGGCAGAGGGAGAGGGAGAAGCAGCCTTCCTGGTGAGCAAGGAGCTTGATGAGGGGCTTGATTCCAGGACTCTGGAATCATAACCTAGGCTGAAAGCAGATGCTTAAACGATGGAGTCACCCCGGGGCCCCAGAACACTGTATTTTAATAGATGTCTGGTGTTCTGGATACAGGAAACCTTAAGTGCAAAAGTCTGAAAAGGAGAAGAAGGGAGGGAGTTCGGGAAATTAAAATGGATCAGTAAGTCTAGCCAGTCTGGTGAAGGGCATGGTGAGCCAGGAGACAGGAGAGGTGAACAGGTGCGAGGTAGTAAAAGATTCCATAAACTACATAAAAAGAGTGGGTTTTATCCTGGGGGAAGAGGAAGGCAAGAAAGTGCTTAAAACAAAGAGAGCTACTGTCAGAACTTTAGGAAGTTCACTCTGGTGGAAACATGGAGCTTCCACTGGAGTGGTCAAGACTGGACACAGGGACACCATTTCGGAGGTCACCACAGAAATCCAGGAGAGAGATGGAGCTCATGCAAAGTAAGGCAATATCAATTGCGGGAGGCGGGCACCTGGGTGGCTCAGTGGGTTAAGCTTCTGCCTTAGGCTCTTGCCATGATCCTGGGATCCTGGGATCCAGCGCCATGGGGCTCCCTGCTCAGCAGGGAACCTGCTTCCCCCATTCCTTCTGCTTGAGCTCGCTCTCTCCCTCTCAAATAAATAAAATCTTAAAAAAAAATAAGGCATTATCAGTGGGACTAGAAGGAAGAGGTGGTCTTTGAGGACTTTACAAGGCCAGTAGAGCTTGGAGATTGAGTGGATAAGCCTACTCAGGGAGCCAGAGGATTCCCCGATTCTTAGTGTGGGCCAGTGGGTGGATGGCGGCTCCTTTCAGTATGAAACAAAACTTGGAAGACACACATTTGGGTGAAACAGTAGAGATGACAAGTTAATCTTTGGACTTGATGAGCTCGAGATACCAGTGGAGGCCCAAAATGAGACAAAACTGCATTTCAGTATAATCAGCACTGAACCCCACTGACTGTGTGATGTTGAACAATACATTTTCTGGGTTTCATCTGTAAAATAAACCCCATTTTAAGGGAGGTTTGTGATAATTAAGACTATGAGACAGTGCTGGCAGAAGTTAGATATTCAGTATATCTGAATTTTTTTTAAGATTTTATTTGTTTATTTGAGAGAGAAAGAGAGAGTGAGAGAGAGCATGAAAGGGGAGAAGGTCAGAGGGAGAAGCAGAGTCCCCATGGAGCTGGGAGCCCAATATGGGACTCGATCCCAGGACTCTGGGATCATGACCTGAGCTGAGGGCAGTCACTTAACCAACTGAGCCACCCAGGCACCTGAATTTTGAGGACATATATCTGAATTTTGTACATCTGAATTTTGAGGACAAAGTGGGAGCCAAGTAAAAGCCTGTTATTTTAAGGAGCTCACTGGGTAGTAGCGAAGACAAACATAGAGAATGGAGGGGCACCTGGGTGGCTCCATTGGCTCAGAGTCTGACTCTGACTCTGAACTTTGGCTCAGGTTATGATCTCAGGTGGTGGGGTTGAGCCCCATGTGTCTGGCTCTGAGCTCAGCAGGGAGAATACTTGAGATTCTTTCCCTCTCCCTCCCCTTCTGCCTCTCTCCCCACTCTTTCTGTGTGGAGACTTAAATCGTTAAAAATAAATAAATAAATAAATAAATAAATAAATAAAATAAATTGTTAAAAAAAAAAATGAAAACATGGCTCTCCCCGAGGAACTCTTGTTCCTCCATGGTGTTCAGTTCTTGTAAACTGATGGTCATCACCATCTTTTTTTTTAAAGATTTTATTTGTTTGTTTGTTTATAGAGAGTATGGGGGTCAGGCAGAAGGAGCCAGAGAGAGAATCCCAAGCAGGAGCATGAACCTGACTCAGGCCTGGATTGCACGACCCTAAGATCATGATCTAAGCCAAAATCAAGAGTCAGACATTTAGGGGTGCCTGGAAGCCTCAGTCCTTAAGCAACTGCCCTCAGCTCAGGTCATGATCCCAGGGTACTGGGATCGAGACCCGCATTAGACTCCCTACTCAGTGGGGAGGTTGCTTCTCCCTCTTCCACTCCCCCTGCTTTTGTTCCCTCTCTCGCTGTCTCTCTGTCAAATAAACAAATAAAATCTTAAAAAAAAAATAGTCAGACATTTAATTGACTGAGCCCCCAGATGCCCCCTGACCTTCATCTTCTACCCCAGCTCTCCAACTGCCATGTGCTACAATTCCCCTGCATTCATCTGTAAGCTTCCTGTTTTCAAGAACTCACACCTCCACTCCATTCACCCTGGCCACTCCCTGGACTTAGTCATCACCTAGAACTGCTGCATCTCCGAAAGCTTAAACTCTAATGTGCTGGTTTTTACCCCAATATCCTATCTTTCTGTTCTGAATAAATCCTGGTGCTCCTAATGGCGCCGTCGCAACACGCAGTGCAATAGAAGAAACCCAGTCTAGTACTCAAAACTGATGCTGAATAATTTAAATTTCTATTTAGTTTCT